TATCTTTCACGCCGCTCCGCCACCACCCACGCTATTAATATTGCTCTCTGTACCTTCCCCTCGGCGGCCAACGCGCTTCACGCACACTCGCTCGCCCACCCTCGCCCGTGACTCTGCTTTAACCCTCCTCCTCCACGCTTTATATATTATACGTATGTACGATCTCGACGCGATCGCGTCGACTACGCTTGCGTGTTTTAGACGACAATTATTCTACCCCGCTTATTACCTCTCTTTGCCTCGGCGTTCGTCATCCTTCAAGCAGCAATCCGACGAGCAACTGTAACAGAGTCACGGAATTATAATCGCGATCTCGCGTTTCGATGACTCGATTAGTGTCTCACCTATTCGTCGGCTGCGTAAATCACCGGCGGCGCATTTGCGTACGACCGTGGCTACGAAAATAAATCTTGCCGCGCGCGTGGCTCGCAGAAATCCCGCGCTCCGCGAGCAAGACGCGCGCGCGACCCTGATCGATCAGTCTGCTTCTTTCGGCACCGCGACCGACCGGCGAGGAAAAAAAGAGATAAGATGGTAAAGGGAGAAATAAAAGGAGGCCAACGTCCGACGCGCCGGCACGAGAGTGTCCGTCAAACCGCGCCGCGGCGTTCGTCGGAAGCCGGGCGTTATGTGGGTCAAGTTCGAAATAACTATACGGTACCACGAGGTGCCTCTTGCACCTCTTCGTCTCGTTCGTCAGCGGGCAGGGCGCGCTGATCTTTCACGCCAATTTTCACGCGATCTTTGGATCTCGAGGATCGAAAAGTGTCAACTTTTTCGTTATTGGAGGCAAAAATAGGCGCGGTGTCGTTCTTTGAAACCGAACGATCGTGTCACAGAATATTTGGACAGAACGGGGTGGGTCGAAGGGGTTTGAATTTCGTGGATTCGCAATTTGTCGAACGTGGCAATAAAAGCGCACGTGAGAAAGAGAGAGAGAGAGAGAGAGAGAGTGTGAGTGAATGTGTGTGTGTGTGTGTGGCACTTTCGAACAATAAGAGAGAGACGGCGTTTGCTTTTCTCGCGTTCGTTTCGCTCGGCGACCGAAATAAACGCTCTCTCTTTCGCTCGCTCTTTCCACGGTGTGTTTCGGCGAGCGGGAGCGAGGCGGGCCGAAGAAACAAGCGTGGAAAAAGAGAAAGAGATCGGGTGGTGTGGCTCGCCCGCGTTCGGTCTTTGTAGCGGCAGATCAAACTCGGCGGGTCATTAATTAAATCTGGCGGAGCAGCCATCGTCCGTCCGTCTTTCCGCCGTGTCTCCGATTTACTTTACACGAAATGCGCCACGGTTATAAATATGGCTCCTCGCGATGGGGACCCTTTTCCCCGAACTTGATCTTGCGGACCGCCCTCGGTGCCGGGGGACACGCGACGGTGTGTGCTGCAAGCTCTCTCTCCTTGACGTGGCCGCCGATCGAGACAGCTTTTCCCTACGCTGCTCAGCCTCACAAAGCTCTGCGAACCGTGGACCGACGTCGCCTTTGCTCCTCCAACAATTGCACGCCTCTCTGTATCGCCTTGTCCTGTCAGCTCGTTTCTTCTTCTCTTCTTCGTTTCTTTGCTTCTCCACTTATCGCGCTGACAACGTGATCTCTCCCTGTCTCCGGTATTATACAGCTCGATTCGAAATCACAGCGTGTCAATTGGAAATAATTCTCGACTCATCTCGTTTTCTTAACCTCTGACGCACGTCGAGAATTTTTTGCTCCAAGATCTTACATACTTTTCACAGTGTTCTCAAGTGTATTTAGGTAAAACAAGATAGGCGAAACAAATAATGAATCTATTACTTGCCAATAGATTTCTATCCGGTGACATCGTAGCGACGAGTACGAAAAGAAAAGGAAAGCGGTTTCGGTCGCTCGTTATGGTCCGCAATCAGTTAAAACGTGGTTAACCTCTTGCGCTGGAATGACGCGCACGTCGACAATTTTCTTTTGCTCCAAAATTGCAATATTTTTCTCAGTTTTAAATATACTTAGGTATAATGAGTAATATTTGTAATGTAATATAAATATTTATATCACAATGGTAGAAACAAGTTGTAACAAATAACTTTAATAGTGTAATATTCAAGTAAATGATACATTAAGTGTAAGAAATAAGTATACCCAGACAAAACAAATACTGCAATCATCATGTTAATTATTCATTCGTTATTTAATTATTCATTATTTAATCTTCGTTATTTTATATTCATCATTAGTAATTATATATTTTGTTACATTGATAATATTTTTATATAAACTACTAAAATTAATTACGGAGTTATTATTTATTTCTAGTATTGCTATATATTAATTTATCTATCATCATAATTACCACAATGTCATACCGACGAGTTCAAAAATAATATTCGTAATATAATATAAATATTTATATTACAATGGTAGAAACAAGTTATAACAAATAACTTTAATAGTATAATATTCAAGTGCAATAAATGATATATTAAGTGTAAGAAATAAGTATACCCAGACAAAACAAATTTATTATTTCTCAATAATTTCTGTCCAGTGATGTCGTACCGACGAGTTCGAGAAGAAAGCGACGAATTATCGTATACGCTCGTTATGGTCCGCAATCGGTTGCCAGCGCAAGTGGTTAAAAAAACCCCGTTTTATTTTAATAGTTTGGAATTACGTTGCCTCGCTCCATTTGGAAGCGCACCCCCTGCCAAGGGCCAGCGTGGTCCGCGTAAGCGCCGATTGATAAAAATAATTCCTGCCTGCCGTGTGATCTCGAATCTGGCAAACACGTGGAACCGAGCCACTCGTAGATAGGCTACGCACGTACGACATCGATTCTACGACTACATCATGCATGCTTCATTCCGCTGGGGTGAATCCATTCGCGATCGATTCGTGAACGCGAGCGAGCGTGCGTTGGAACGATCGGAAACGTTCCGTAGTCGTCACAGTTGACGAGGTCAGCGATGCAACCCAAAGTTCGAGAGCGACCGAGGGATATTATACGTTGTTACTCGGCGCGGTGTGCCGTAGGAAGCTTCGCCTAAATAGACAGGTTTGATCGATGCGGCTTCCCGGCGATATTGATAAATAAAGGCGATTACAGCGATGACGATTCCGATGGTCAATGAATTTATATACCTGACAAAAGCCCTGCTACGGCCGATAAATCAGCCACCACCTCCACCATCTTGCCAGCCGTTCTCTCACTTTCTCCCACGACACGACGACGGTGACCGCCGTCCGGGTAATCTCTCAATCTAAATCGATCGATCTGCCAAAACGACTTCGATACGGAGCTGTTTATCATCGACCACTTACGAATTTACCTCGCCGATGCGCCCGTACACAACGGGAAGATCCGGTGATGAAGCCGTGATCTCTACGTGGGAGCACCGCGGGGGTGCCCGAACGGAACTCGTGTAGATACTTGAACTTTCGTTTTTATTGCGCGTCGATGAACGCCGGGCCATTCATTAAATTATACAAGTCGCGCTGCGTTCGTCGAATCTTTGCTCACCTACGACGAGAGCACGTACGAGTAAAAACTTAGGCCGCTTTGCGTAAAAGCTCTTTGAGTTGTTGCATCAAACGTTTGCTCGTTTGCCTCGTTCTTCTTTTATACACTGGCTCTCGCCAGTCTTTCCCTCCCTCCCCCCCGCCACTCGTCCAACGTTTGCACGCTCGACGTCTTTGCATGCTCGCGGAATGATACGAGGGGGAATATCAGTAACGTGAGTCAAAGTTTATACGAGTTTGCACGTGTATATATTCAGGCTCTCCGCGATGGATGCAATCCGATGGTTTGCAATTTCCCACCTTGCTAACCGCCTCTCCCGCTTCGCTATTTTATATCGACAATATCTCGGTGAACTTTGTTCTTTGAAAGTGAAAATGGTCAGAGTGATTAATTTGTAATTCTTGGTAAATTTGTAATTCTTGGTTTTACAAACAAGTGAAACAAGTTTTTAGAGATTTAAATGATATTTTTGGTAAAATGTAATGCATAATAGGAGAAACTCGTCTTTGTCTTTCAAAAAAAAAATGTTGGACTTTGAAGAAACTTTGAAAGTTGAAAAGCTTTGAAATTTAACAAACTATCAAAGTGATCAACATGATCGATTTATAATTTCTCTCAGACACTTTATGAACGTAAAACAGTGTATTTTTAAAATATAACAATGGAAGCTCGTGCATTTGTATTACAACATTAGAACTACCAAAAAGTGATCGAAACGGTCGATTTATAGTGTTTGTTAGACACTTCAGCCAACTTAAACTGGTGTATTTTTAAAGATTTCAATAATTCGTAAAAGTATACGAGTAAGAGTTCGTACACTCTGCATTGCGTTATAAAGTTGTTTTTGTCTCTGATGGAAATCTCACACTTTGGTCGTCGGTAGTTAAGAAACTTTTTTTACATGCTAGTTACAAGAAAGAACAGTTGGCGATTCAGCTACAGATTTTTTTCAGCCAAATAAAATCGCCATTAAATATTTCTTGCAAGATTCCGCAATTATTCAAGTGAATGAAAATCAGGCGACTAGAAGGCGATTAAAATTTTCAACCTCCTTCTTTCTACGCATACTTCGAATCATGATCGCATGATACAGTAAATTTGTAGCACTTGGCAAAAATTTCAAATCAATACAGCCGGTGAGTTGAGGTTTTCGGCAAGTGTATATTTTATACGACACGTCCTCTAATTATCCACTTGCTGTTCAAATTCGCGCGTATCTCGCGATCACGCTGAAAAATAAAAAAGAAAGAAAAGGCGGTGTTAAAGTACGGTGCTAATTCGTCTCGGGGCAGAGACTGTGGCTCGCTCGTTGGTTCGTTCGACGAGACACTAAATAATTACCGGACCAACTGGCTACCGGTGTTGCCGGTTTAGGAAATTAGCTCGATAACGTTGCCGATAACGCGTTCCGCTTCGCGCCTGTTCCGTTCACGCTCAGTAAATTGCACGCGTTTCAATTTGCCACCAGCAAACGCGAAGACGAAGGCGCGTTTCCATTTTTTTTTTTTTTTTAAATCGAATTTATTCGTCTTGTCAAATCCGCGCTATGCGTCCAGCAAGATCTCCAAGGTCCCGTGGATTCCAATTTGTGCAATAATAAACCCGACGATTGGCAGGCAACGGTGGAGGAAGAGAGACGAGAGAAGTAGAAACGTGCTCGATCGACGTGACGACAAAACGCCAGCGAGCTTTGGTAAGAGAAACGAGATTTCGCGTTCACCGAAATCATCGGGCGAACTGGCTCCTTGACTAATCGACGCGGTGTTGTACTAGGCGCGATATATCTCGCCCGCGGTCGCGGCTCGTAGGGTTAAATTAATCGTCCGTGTAATACGCCTATGATCGTGCTGCTTCATCGTTTCTCGACTGCTCGTTCTTCGTTAGCTTGCATCCAGCTAATGGTCGCCAACGAACATTGAAGATTTCTCCCTTTTGGTTTCTTTCTCTCTCTCTCTGTCCTCTCTCCTCTTAGAACTCGCTTTCGTCGCCAACTGTAGTACCGCCTCACCGGCTAATAAATTCTCGAATAAATTCTCGAACGTTCTCAGCGACTGTGCTAAGTAGGAGAAACATTGTAAAAAAAGGATTAATAATGCTCGCGTGTTTCGTTTTCAGGAAAAATCGATTTCTATCATTCCCCTCGATTCTTCTCGAGGTAAATTCCCTTCAATTCGTCTTTTTTTACTTTTGACTCGATTGTCCGCGCTGTGTCGAGTAAATTTTTTGAAATTCGAAAAAAATTTTTTACGAAAAGTTTCTTAAAATACTTTGGCCAAGGACTGATGTTTCAGGCCTGTTTCGCGATAAGAAATCAACTGTATATTGGCCGGGAATGAATATTCAACGTCGTTTTCTTGCACGAAACGAACGATCGCTTGTTGTGTGTCGACTTTGCACCGATTCTCTCTCGATTCCTATTCCGTTTGATTTGATGTCTCGCGTGGTGCGACGAACGATATTACACTCGTTCACCTCCGCGTCGCGTGATACTCCCTATCAGCTTGCGAAATCTTTCAGCAACATCGACGCGACCGATAATCCCGTGAATTAATTTATCGCGGCCAAGAGGAAGGTCGAGATTTCCGTCACAGCAACGACAATGCTGCTGACGATATCGGTGAATAAATATGTACAGCAGAGCGATGTACATATGTACGAGAACAAATTCGCGTGTACGACGAAATTTCAATTGCAGTTCAGTAATTAATTTGCAATCGTCCTTGTAATTGTAATCGTGGTAAACGTAATCGATCGATCGATCACTCTTCAAATAAAACGGCCATCTTGATTGACCTTTCGAACTCGTAACCATTAATCGGTTATTTTTAAATCATTAGGCGATTCATTTGTATTTTATTACCATCTATAACGTGTTGATTTCTTCACGTTCAAACGTAACGATCGCGTGTTATTCGCGTGTTATTCGGTATAATTGAATTATTGGAAACGGCTTGCTGTTTGTGTAGCGGATCAAGATTAGATCCTCCGCTGTGTAACATTAGTGTAAATTTACTGTATTGTTTCAGTGAATTAGTCGCTTGACGATTTAAAAATTATTTTCACAATGATTAAGAGTCAAAGAGTTACTGATTTCTTTCGACAAATTACAAAAGTCAGTCGGGATTTTAGTGATTAATTGATTAATGATTTGATTATTACTTATTACTGATATTATCTACTATTAATGATTACTTGTTATTAAGTTATTTCAATAATTGATCAATGACAATTACCACTATAATTTTTGGTATAACGATGAGTGGGGGTACTATAACGAGGAGTCTGAAAATTTTGAATCATTCGACAAATTTGCCATTAAAGTCAGTCTTCTATCAAAATGGCCGTCGTTTTCGAGAAAATCGAGTGTGAAAATTTCGCGAGTACATCTCAATTTAGTTGATTACTGGACAAGCGAGGATATCTTTGCTATTATGCTAGTAACAAACGTGAAATGAAATTTCTCTCGTTATTTTACAAGAAAATAGACTTTGAATATACGTTCGTTGGTACACGCTTGCTCGATAAATTCTCAGACCCAATGTTCTCGAAAACGAAGCAGATCTTGCAGAAAAATTTCTTGAAACAACCGCCTGTCGATTATTCCTTCCCCTCACGTCGCAGAGTTAGCTAAATTCAAGCACAACATTGACAAACTTTCAGACTCGATTTTCTCAAAAAAAAAAAAAAAAGAAAAAAAGTCTTTGACGTACAAATGTTGTTCTCTTTTTCGATCCTGAACGACGATCGACGTTACGTCGCGTACATTCAACGTTGCGAACGTTTAATTAAAGAAGCGGTCCTGGACGAACGACACGATTACACGGTGAATAATTAGAATAGTTAGAGACGCGTCATCCGCCGCGCTTTCGAGCATTTAACCGATGATTTACTATTCGCGTACGCGCGCGCGTCTACCGGGGATGAGCGCACGCTTTTTGTTACCAAGCAGTGCCACGTATGTACGTACACCCGCGAAGCGTGCAAACTATAAGGTATAAACAATAAAATAATCGCAGAGAGTGAGTGAGAGAAAGAGAGAGAGACAGAGTGACGGCGAGGCGATAAATCACCAGCGACTCGGTTATCTGCCATGGCACGTGAGGGGATAACGCGTCGCGGCTTGGCCTCTGGTAAATTTAGCTATTGTCGTGCCTAGGATATATTAAATCTCGTTAAAACGTCTTCATGAAGCCGGGGCTCGGCTTACAACGAACGACGCTTCGGCCGCTATATTATAACCGCGTGTACCTGCGTCGCGCCGTTCGTACGATCGTTCGATCATACGTTCGCTCATTTTGTTACGTTGTCGTTCTCGTTTCTGTGTGCTGTTAGCTCTTGGCACAGGTCGGCAAAGTTGCTTCCGAGACTTCAGAATTGGGAATTAAATTTTTTTTTGAAGTGGTGTACTAGACATATGTACTAGACGTATGCCGTCAAAGTCTTGTGCAGAGGCAATGTTACACGAAGTTGAAAGTCGATGTATGTACACGTAACACCGCGTTTCCAAAATTATCGTACCGGGAGGAAAATTGAAAATGAGCAAAATTCATACGGTGGAAATAGGACAAATGTACGTACGTATAACGTCACGAGACAAAAGAGGAATAGAAAATATGAAGAAAGTACAAAGCTGTAAAAAAGATACAAAAGATGGAAAATTGAAACGAGCAATTGATACTGAAAATGAGACAAATGCATATGTTATATCGCAACAGAATTTTTTTTTAGTGGATGTATCAGATGCAAATAGACATCAAAGTCTTGTGCAGAAGCCAGATGCAAATTGCGTAGTCAATGTTACACGAAGTTGGAAGTTGAACCCGATTTATGCATGTACACGTGTGGATGCTTCATTACCGCGTTTCCAAAATTACCGTACGGGAGGAAATGAATAATTGATAATGCTAGAAATGAGATAAATATGTATATGGCGTCACAGAACAAAAAGGAATAGAGAATATTGGAAAATATGAAGAAAGTGAATATCACAAATGAATGGGAAATACAAAACTGTAAAAAGGTACAAAAGATGAAAAATTGAAGTGAGCAATTGAAACTGGAAATGAGACAAATTTATATTTATATAGATAAATATTTATATTTATATTTATGTAAAACATAACCATAACTACATTCTAATTATACATTACAATTGCAATTACAAATATTTATATTTATATAAAACATAACCATAACTACATTATAATTATATTACAGTTACAAGTATCTACAGGTGATAATTACAACCACCTTCTCGAGATAAAAAATTATAAAAAAGTATTAAAAAAAAAATGCAGATCATCTAAACCAACGTTGTCCTCCTTTTTAAAATTTCGAGATTTGGAGCGCAGTGAATTCCCAATTCCCCCCCCCCCCCCCCTCATCAACGTATGACATCGTTTTTGTAAAACGAACTACTCGTTTCAACAATGATCATACGTTACAAAAAAATAAAGGAGAAGTGCGCCTCCGAAACGAAATTCTGTCCATCTTTCTCATTCTTTTTCCGAGAAGGTATCTGTACGTCGCGTCGTTCGGGTGATGAACGTTCGGTTCTCTATATCGCATTCTTCTCCCCGTCGATCGGTCGAAGGATCGATAAAAAAAAAAGAGCGTACAATGTTGCATACAGGGAGAGACGAGCGAGAAAGAAAGAGAAACCCTCGTGACTGCTTTCCAAATGTTTAGAGATCTCATTTGCGCATCGTTTTTTTTTTTTTTTTTGTTTTGATACAGCCTCACAATTGAAAATAGAAACGCGAAGCCGTTAATTGAACCGCGTTCGGTTCACAGTACGTCATCCGACCTCGCGCCACTGCCTTGAATAAAGGAAAGCGACGATCCCGGCGACGCTCGATTCGAAAGAGCCTACTTGCGTACAGGTGTAGCCTTTATACGTGACTATAGAGAAAAAAAGGCGCGAGAGAGAGAGAGAGAGAGAGAGAGAAAGAAATGAATAGACGCTCTTGTGATTCGATTAGCTGCCCACGAGCCTCCGCACGAGGCCCCTCTGGGCCCCAACATGTTTAGACGAACCTACGAATTATGCGGCAACACAATCAAGCAGCGCAGGTATTCTCGGTGACAGAAACGTGGGAGTGATCCCTCTCCTACGGGAGATGAGAACAGGAGGCCGCGCCCACTTGTTTGTCCAGGGTAACAGTCTTACCTGAAGCTTTACCCGATCTGGCATAAACTGCAGGACCGGGGAGCCCTGGTCGCGCTCTCTATTGATTTATTCGGTTCATCTCCAGCTATTATCGCGAACTAACCAGAGAGATCAACAGAGAGGAATGTTTGTTCCTCTTAAAGACGATTTTCTGGCGAAACCTCGCCGAATGACTCGTTCGTTTAACTGTAAAGAGAATGTGTCTCGACCTCGTTGTTCCTCTAATATCCTCAGCGAAACGCTTCGAAATTAGAAACGTTGGGTAATAACCTTGAAGAACAACGAATTTTTTGGCGGCGAGCTTTGCTGCGACACGACGAAAGATTTCATGATTGGTTGCAGAGTTATGTAAGATAAAGGAATTCCGAATGTATCGCATAATTGAGTGATCGTTTCTAACTATGTATATTATTGTACGCGTATATTATTATACGCATTATGTAGTTAGTATTGATACCAAGATAGGTATCAGTTGGTTGAATAAATTTTTGACAGAGCATTTTGCGGGTCGTACTGTTGTGCAAACGTATTTACACACGTTTATACATTTAGTCAAACGTATTTATACATTTATATACTTATACATACGTATTTATACACGTTTATACATTTATACAATCGTATTTATATACGTTTATACATTTATACAAACGTATTTATATACGTTTATACATTTATACAAACGTATTTATATATGTTTATAGATTTATACAAACATTTTTATACGTTTATTCAAACGTATTTATGCATTTGCATACTTACGCAAACGTATTTATACAAACATGTTTATACATTTACTACATTTTCTTCCCATTTCTAACAATTAGAACACCGTTGGGCGGTTTGATACCGTTTGATACCGTTTGATGGGACAAAAACACCCAATTTCAGTTGGATTAACAATCAGGATTATTCCGATCGTGTCGCTAAATTCTCGCTGATCCTGTTGTTGCAGATTATAAAAACCGTTTCCGCAAGGAATCGAGGCGTGCGTTTTTGATAGGAACGGCCGGTCACACCGACGAAAGTTACGTTTGGAAACGAAACCGCGTGTGTGTTATTACGCAATCAAACACACTCGCGTCGTTCCGTTGGCCGTGGTGGCCCGCAGTAAGAAATTTCGTACACCCACGTACGAACAGCCACGGCTGTGCGTGTTAGGACAATTGTATTCCGAACGCCTCTACCGTGATTATTGTAATGACAACACCTCTCGTCGAGCGGCCAGCAACAACCTTTTCAATGATATGATTTGTGGGCCCGTTGCGCGACGCGAATACCTTATGATGCGACAGCGTCGGACAGCGTTTCGTTCCTTTTCAACTTTTTTATCACCCTGTTCTACGTGTTACTCGTCGACATTCTACAACGTCGCGAAACTTTCGGCTGAGAATCAAAGTTCATAGTTAAGTAAAACGGCAGGGCGGCAAGGGAGAGAATTGAATCCAACGCGTGAGAATCGTGGTGATTCGAGAGATACGGAGAGAAGGAGAAATCGGAGAATCTCGACGAAATTCCACGGACGTGGTGGTTGCTTCGTATTTGATTAGGATTCCATCAAGCGAGTGGCATCGTTCATCGGTGGACCACCTCGGAGTGTCAATATTATCACACGTGCTCGAAACGCCGACAGAGGGGACCCGGCTCGTTTCGTTGCCGTCCGATTACAATTCGGTTTTTAGATCGGTACCATCGGTTCTTGGCACCTGCACTTCGATAGACGTGTATATACACGCGTATTTATCCAAGTCCGCCCTTTTCAGGTAGGCGCTCGCCATTTGAATACGCTCCAAGATTCGATGAATCTATTTGCATGCTTGCCTCGTCGATAAAGGGGGGGGGGGGCACACCTCGGCGGGAGGAGAACGCCCCTTGAATTCTCCATGAAGTTTCCATCGTCACCTGGAAAACTACAGTGGACGGCCTCGGGAAACAGCAGGGGGAGAGCTTAATCCTCTTCTGCGAACGAGCGACCTTTCTGGCGAAATTTCACTTCTCCTCGGTGGTCGAACGTTTGATCTGAAAATTGTGAAACGCAGCGAAATGATGAAAAACGGAAAATTACGATTACGTGGCAAAGTCTTTTTTCTTGCAAGGGTGTAGTTCTTATATTGGAACAGATATATATCTACGTTAGCCGAATCTTAGACGAATCTAGAGTTTGTCGATCGCTGTTATTTTCTTTCACTCGTGTCCGGTAAAACTTGAGCAAAAGGACAAAATTGGCCGATTTTGCGACGAAATCTTTCTTTTTTTTTACAGGACATTGTTCTATATATTTTTAGGAATTTAATAATTAAATTTAGAGTATTTTATATTTATATGTTTAGAATATTTTATATTTATATATTCAAAATATTTTATATTTATATGTTTAGAATATTTTATATTTATATATTTAAAATATTTTATATTTATATATTTAAAATATTTTATATTTATATATTTAAAATATTTTAATATTATATATTAATATTTCTAGAAATTTAAACACAATTATTATTATATTTAAAAGAGATGGGATAATGAGAGAGTTACAAAAAATAGGCCTAAACGTTAGTGGATAAATCTCGTTGTTCTCCTCGAATGATGATGACTAAATAAAATAATGATTCAGAAAACAATTTGTTTGGATCTAAATCTAAACCTCCAAGAAACTATAAAATTGCCGTTTCTGTGTCGATGCTTCCTGTATTAAAAGAACTCTTTGAATACAGATACAGTGAATCCTATTAACATTCGAATACTAGATACATACTTGAAAACTTGTAAAGGAAATCGTGCACTGGATATTGGAAAATTCATTTCGTTAAATGAAATCGTACAATAATAATCTTGGATTCATTTTAAAACCTATGCTGTCGTAATGTATTATTTGTATTACTTGTGTTACTATACATTACTTATATTATTGGAATGGATAAATGAAGATAGTGGAACATAACAACGTACTATGACAATTTATCTACGTATATTTTCGAGAAGAAGAGTATCTTCATTTACTCATCCGTTGTGTGTTAAATTCGTTCTGGTCTGAATCAAAATAAATAGCACGTTTCGAAAGTGGAGGCTCTAAGCTTTAAAACGAGCCCGAGATTATTATCCTATGTGTTCGATTTCTATTTACAAAGTTATAACGAATGTGATTTTACTGTGTCTGTCTTTGAAAGCGTTCGTGCAGAAGCATCGAGGGATTATCGTAAGGATTTCACGTTTTTGGGCAGGGTAAACAATCCAATTCACAGAGCCAGATTCTCTGAATCATTATTCGTTCGTCATCATTCGAGGGAGACAACAGTTCCGAAGTTTATGCCTATTTTTCGTAACTTTCCCCGTTATCTCGCCAGTGTAAATAATCACTTTGGATTCTTCAGAACACATTGGACAAACTTTCGTCGGTAATCTGTTCCAAAATTGGCCAATTTTTACCATAGTTTTCTCTCTCTCTCTCTCTCTCTCTCTCTCTTTTCATATCGACTCGCGATATTTTTAGAGGATAGCAGTGAAAATTGTACAACGACCGAATTATCGCGTCCAGTCGTGACTGTACAACACACAGTGACTGTAGGCTTGTAATCTATGGACTGCATTTACCCTGCCGGCAGAAAGTGGCAACAACTAATAACGTCTGGCGATACGATCGTGAGAAAGCAATTGTCGGCTGCCGCGATAACGCTGATTCCCCGGCGAGAATTTGCTAACTCGAAAGATTCGTGGAGACGATATGCCCTGGAAGCGATATTGGACACGTTCGTCAAAAAAGAAAAAAAAAAAAAGAAGGATGCGATTGTTTAGCCGTTCGCGTTTGAAAAATGTCCTAGCAATGCGTCGGTAAAGCAGGTGCCGATTCCGGGAGGCAACGGAACATCCGTTTTTTCCACGGACATTACCTCATACTCTGCCCGTTTCCGCTCGCGTTAATGTTCACTTTTGTAGAGTTTTATCTCGGAGACCGGTGCAACGGGCACAGTCGTAAAACACTTATGACACCCGTAGCATAATAATGCCGCCCGATAGCGGCTATCTCGCCGTATAGAAGCATGCACGCTCGCCATTTTCCTAATTAATGTTTAATGCGCCCGATATCTTGCCCTCCTTCAACCACGCTACGTGCACCTATTGGTATTGCGTATCAACGCTCCCAGACGTTCCTTTAACCCCGGCGCAATCAGGCTAAAATTTGCGTAACTGTTATTTCACAGATAAACGGGAATTAAGCCGGTCGCGCTTTAATCTTAATGGCCTCCCGAGTTTCCCTCGGTTGAGTCACAACCCGAATCGTCCGAGAACTTATTCCTTTCGACCGTGTCATTAACATAGCGATCAACGTTGCTGAACGAAGGATCAAGTTTAGTCTCTTTTTTTCTGTTTTTTTTTTTTTTTTTTTTTTAATTTCCAACGGATCGCGAGAATTTTCAATGATGGACGGACTCGTATCGCCTCGGCCTTCTCTAGATCAGCTGTGTCCAGTCGACCAATCTTGGCTGTGTTGTTAAAATAATTGAACAAGAGTTTTATTGTTGCAGCGAGCGTGCGAAAATTAATTTCGAGACGAGCGTCTCGAAAATAATGATAAACTGATCTATATAAAAGACGAGCTCATTTTTTTTTTTTTTTTGATTGATGTAAATATATTTGTTCTAATCGACGTATTGTTTGTAATCAACTCTAAAAGTTGTTTTAATAATATGGCTTACTTTTGATACTGATAAAGTGTGTAAACTATACAGGCGGCCCTCGACAAATTTTTATCTAGGCCAATGAAGCCCAGACGATCTAAAAGATTAGTGTCTGTGTCTTTCGGACTTTGAAATTTTCCAAAACGCGCGGAAATTCACAGATATTTGAAACGCGTGCTTCGACGATCTTCGGCGATTTGACTTCCCGCGAATCGATGAAAGCAAAGCAGCGAGTAAATGAAAGAAGGAATGGAATAAATGGTTGATCTTTTGCTTTCAGTCGCATCAGGAGGAGGACCTGTCGGATCCAGATCTTCAGGACGAGGAGAGCGGCGAAGAGTTACTTCAACAACCACTTCAGGGTAACACGCACTCCTCGGCCGATAATGCATCCGTGCCGTCTGGTTCGTTGACACCTACTCCGTTGTCACACTTGAACAACTTGATGCACACGCACCCGCAGTTTCTAGCCAAATTGAAAGCTGAGGTCAGTAAAAAGAGAACAAGTTTTCACTTTTTCCGAAATTGTTTCTCCAGCGTTTTGAATATCGCGAACGAGAGCTTTGTCGTTTCGATCGATGAATAGGATTCATCGAGTACGCGTTTTTTTGGGAAATCGCGAGATTATCGCTTATTCGTTCCGAACTTGATCCATCCATTATTCGAGTCATCGTTGCTCTCGAATATAGATGGTTTGGTCCAGTTTCTCGGCGTAGGCTCCGTCATTTGCGGCGCTTCTTTTCTCTGAAAAGAAATGTTCTTTTGCACAGATCGATACTGTTGTACATCTCTTTGAACCACTTGAAACTTTCGATCCGGCAAGGCAACATACCGAAGTGTGAATTGATTTTGATAATCGTCGATGTTGGACGAAGGATTTGAGGAAACTACCCTCAAATTTAGGAAATAGTTTGCGGGACATATTTTGCCACAAATGTTTCGGAAATTATTGAAAATACGATTCAATGGTGTATGCCATTTTACAAAAAAAAAAAGAACATCTGTTTAAACAAGATGTTAAAGAATATTTTTTTTAAATTTTTCCAATTAATAAATATTCTTGAATATTTGTTCGTGAAAACCATATTTTTATTATTATTTTTATTATTTATTTTATTTCATTATTATTTGATTATTATTTATTTCTGAGTCTTACGTTTCGGCTTCGATTGTTTGTACAGAGTTTCAACGTTGCCATGAAATTGCAATTTCCTCATTTGCTATTCACATGTATCTATATACCAAAAGTATTGAACTAATATAATATGCCTATATATCTATATATCAAATATAATTAATTTGCTATTTACACGTATCTATTTACCAAAGGTATTGAACGAATATAATATGCCTATATATCTATATATCAAATATAACTAATTTTAAGCGATTAAAAGTAACTAGACTCTGCCAACTGCGTCTAACTTTTACATCACGTTACTTTACCCTACAATAAGAAACGTAACAAGACAGTACGAAACGAGCCAAAGTAACACGTTCGACGATGGATCGTAAAATTAACGAGTATCCTTGGTAGTAATATTTGATTAAATTCATGAAAGCTATATATTCAAACACGAGTCACAATATGGAACCTTGATCTTTGCTTTGTTGTAAAAATGATCGAAGTCGGGACTTCGGTTTCAATGAACCGAATAACTTGAAAAAAAAAAAAAAAAAAAAAAAAAATTGCAGTTGAAAGAAAGTTAGTGAATGATTGATTATTGTTGTTCGCAGCACGGGGAAAATTTAGAAAATTTGGCTAACAGAACCGGTCTGGATATGCTGCAAGTGGCGATGACCGCCGGCGGTTTCAATCTGCCGTTTGCGTTCCCGCCGCCGGCGGCCTATATATCGCCACCAGCTCACATGCAGCCGATTCAGCCGCAGCCTGTTGCTGCCACTTCTGCTGCCACTGCCACTGCTGCTGCTGCTGCTGCTGTCGCTGTCGCTAGCGGAAGCGGCAGCGGAAACCAGGCGACGTCCTCGGGCAGCTCCCATTCCAGCGAGTCGTCGCAGAGCAGCAGCAGAAACGTCGTCGAGCCTCGAGAATCCTCCAGCGGCTTCTCAGAGCTGAACAATTTGCCTTCGACGAGTCAGCAACAACAGCCGCAGCAACAACCGCCGCAGGAGCAACAGCAGTCGACCAATTGGAGCTTCGAAGAACAATTTAAACAGGTGCGTTAGGCAAGTAATTTACCTACATACGTCGTTAGCCACGTCTTTGTACGTACATTCGCGCGATTTCGTACGATCGATCCTTTTCGATCTCTAAACGGAAACGCTAAAGCGCCACGAATCATTCGTTTCTTTTTTTTCTTTTCTTCAATATTTCGGAATATAAGAATATTCCATATTCTGCGTTTTTGGCAAACGTACGAGAAGCCTTTTCCAACGGAACGAAGAACGTGCAGTTTGTCACGTTTGTTTCGAACGGAAATAAAGTTTGGAGAAATTAAGAGACAACAATTGGAAACGTTAACGTTTCAAGATGAATCTCGAAGCACGAAGTCGTACACGTAACACCGCGCGGCAGCGATCAAATGTGCAAAATTGGAGTTTCGAGTGTTCGCGAGCGTTCAAGGGGTTTCACTCGCTCCAGTCTCTCGCATGATGGACTTTGTCACACGCGAAACTCGCGTCTCTTAACCTCTTGCGCTGGAAAACTTTTTGGCCCCAAATTGCAAAACACTTTCTCAAGTTTAAGTATACTTAAGTATATTAAACGCCCAGGCAAAACGGATGAATAAGTTTATTGCCCGTCGATAATTTCAATCCGGTGATGTACCGAATTACTGTGCACCGTCCGGTCACTCGTTATGGTCCGCGAAACCAGTTGCCAGCGCAAGGGGTTAACTGCATTTATTCCGTTAGCAAAAATTGATCGGAGAGAAGAGAATCGGCTGATCGATATCGAACGCTGCCAATCATTTCAGACCGACGTGCACGTAGTGTCGCACGGACAGGTATTGCGAGCATTGCGAGCACGTATTAGAAAACGGTGTAATTACAAGCGTACGAATGCAATGGACGCGCCGGCGGAATGGTTGCTTCAATTAATGCAACGACGGTAGCTAATTATTAGTTTTACACGCGTGACAGATAATTACCCGTCTCGACCCCCTCTCGAATGCCGCCGCGATTGACAGTCGTCTTCCACCTTAGTCGGCCGGAGAAGGACAAAACAATCTGCAAACGCGATCGAGGTTGAACGAGAGACAGAGAGAGAGAGAGAGAGAGAGAGAGAGAGAGAGAGAGCTAACTCTCACGGTGGAAGAAACAACGAAAATAGCGGCACGTGAGATAAAAGCTGAAATAAAAGCAGAGAGGCGGAAGGGGTAAAGGGGTTGGGGAGATTATAAAATATAAGGTTGGTGGCGCGCGTCGGGGGCCTTGTTAAAGCTTTTTGTCTCGCGGTCGGCGTGTATGTACTCGCGCGGGGTATTTTTGCCTTGAGGTTTGTCGGCCAGTCAGCCCGGCCATCACTCGGAGCTTGCTCGTTCGCTTGCTCGCTCGCTCGCTCGCTCGCTCGCTGCCTGCCAGCGATGGTTTTCAGTTTTTGCAAAGAGGGTGTGGTGTTGGATTACCATTTAGATTGTTCACGCCGATGTATCCCTCCCGCCGTCTATGACAAACCACTCACTCTCTCTCTCTCTCTCTCTCTTTCTCCGTGCATCACGAAGGACGAAAACCGCCGCGTCTCCTTCCGTTTCGACTGCTTCTTGCACTCCGAGAGCTTCCTTCCTCTCTTTTTTCTCACTCTCTCGTCTTCGTTCTCTGTTTTCATTTCGTTTCGAATCGGAAGAGCCAAGGGGTTGTTCTCGCGGAGGAGGCTGCGCGAAGCGTATCGCGCCGATTAAAGCTTGCGGACTGCCGGGGGTAAGAGGGAGACGAGGAACAAGCGCAGGAATGAAAATGGAAGTCTCCACCTACTCGAAGAGCGGCGCCCGCGTCTCACGGATCGCATCCATCATTCCGGTGGGGGCGTACTTGCCGGGTCTTTAATCTTTCTTCTTGGCGAAGATGGTGGTTCCTTCCCTTCTCTTCTTCTTCTTCTTCTTCTTCTTCTTCTTCTTCGGCACGACTTGGGGAGTCTTGCCCCTTTTGCGACTTCTCGCGCACCGCCGCCACCAAATTTAAACTCAGCCAGCTTAGTTCGCATCGGGGAGGAATGGGATCGAGAGAGGTCGTCGATCGAGAGGCGAAGCGATGGCCGCACTGCTCTCCACGTGCCGTTATTTATCGGTTCGCGACTGGAATATGGAACGATGCAAATTATTTCGCGAGCGTACGCCGTCGTACGTACGCTTTTTTTTACTTTCTTTTTTTCTTCTAAACGATCGTTTTATCACGATCCGCGCATTTCAATTCTAATTTTGCCGCAGAATCGCGCGATTATTACGTGGGCATCGCGAATCATCGACGATGGCGACGAATTTACGAGCGGCAGATTCCCCAAGTTTTTTTTCTTTTCCACGATGCACTCGCGATTGCGATTGCGTAACGAGCGATGTAACGATCGTGCAACGAACAAAACCCGGTATCGGGATTACGTTGGCGTGGCTCACCGACTTTTCTTGCTATGCACGTAAAAAAAGAAAAAAAAAAAGAAAGAAATAGGTGCATCCGTGATTGATCGAAATTCTTCTGAAAAATCGTCGAAAGAAAAGCGTCGTTTGCCTTGTTCGACATTGGATGAGAGGCGTTAACATGACGCTTTGCTGAACTTCACCTACTCGCGTTGATTTGTAGTCACTCGAAACAAATAGAACGAATATAGACGGTTTCTCTGTCAAAGGCGAAACCTTCGTCGATACATGCGCACGATGAACGAGACGATGGCTGGCTAGACGATGTTTCTCGGTCTGAAAGTTGCGACTCTAACTGTGCACGTATCTTGGCGGGGTATCATCCCTGCTCGCACCACCGTTCACTGACCGTGCACTCCAGCTACCACGGCCAGTATAATATTGTGGCACTATACTTTGCAGCCATTGTGAAATAACTCGTAAAGCTGCAAATTGCCGGGTATTTCGCTGCCACGTACGTGTGCACCGCGGCTCTTTACACCGCGTTCGCGCGTCGTGTTGGTGCGTACGTCGAGAGCGCACACACCCACCGGCCTATTCTCGCTCGTACGTACGCGATCCCTTGTTAGTTGTACCGGTTCCTTCCAACAGCTTTCAGTTCTCGTAACGCTCGGTCCACACTGGACAGAGAACTGTTCGCTAATAGAAATTGCATCGCATCCACACTCGCTCGCGAATCTCACCGTCAATAGCAGTGTGGTCGCGGCTTTATGCAAAGTGAAGCTCTCAGTGATTGATTTCACCTACGCTTCGAGTTCGCAAACAGATTTTTTTGACCAAACAATTGTTCGTTGTTGCAAATGTACTCGCTGTAATATCCAGTCGTAGTTTGCTATCTGTTGGCGAACAGTTTGCGAGTAGTGTGAACGCGGCATTATAAATTAAGATTCTCAATGCTTCCACGTACGTTTAAAATTCGCGAATAGATTCTTTGATACCGCTGGCACTCTTCGCTGTTGCAAGTGAGTTTGCTGTAGTATCTAATCACAGTTTGCTAAATTATCTACATTTCTGTTGGCGAATAGTTTGCGAGTAGTGTGAACGCGGCATTATAAATTAAGATTCTCAATGCTTCCACGTACGTTTAAAATTCGCGAATAGATTCTTTGATACCGCTGGCACTCTTTGCTGTTGCAAGTGAGTTTGCTGTAATATCTAATCACAGTTTGCTAAATTATCTACATTTCTGTTGGCGAATAGTTTGCGAGTAGTGTGAACGCGGCATTATAAATCAAGATTCTCAATGCTTCCACGTACGTTTAAAATTCGCGAATAGATTCTTTGATACCGCTAGCACTCTTTGCTGTTGCAAGTGAGTTTGCTGTAGTATCTAATCACAGTTTGCTAAATTATCTACATTGCTGTTAGCGAACATTTTACGAGTGTGAACACGGCATTATAAAGTAAAAATCTCAGTGCTTTCACGTACGTTTAAAATTCGCGAATAGATTCTTTGATACCACTAGCACTCTTCGCTCTAGTATCAAATCTCAGTTTGCTAAAATATCTACATTTCTGTTAGCGAACGATTTGCGAGTAGTGTGAACGCGGCATTATAAATTAAGATTCTCAATGCTCGCACATATACTTCGAGTTCACAAACGGATTGTACGAACAAACAGTGTTCTCTCTTACAAATGAGCTCGCTGTAACCTGATCATAGTTCGCTAAAATATCTACACAGCTGTTAGCGAACAGTTTGCGAGTCGTGTAAACGCGGCATTACAAAGTGAAGCCTCCGTGCTTCCACATAGTTTCAAGTTCACAAATAGATTCTTTGATACCACTAACACTGTTTCACTCTTACAAGTGTGCTCGCTGTGACCTGATCATAGTTTGTCAAAATATCTTTAGTATTGTTATCGAACAGCTTGCTTTATAGCGCCGTGTGAACGCGGCATTATGAAGCAAGATTCACAATACCTCTACATACGTTTAAAATTCGCGAATAGACACTTTGATACTAAAATTTATTCAGTGTTGCAAAGGAGCTCGCTGTAACCTAATCGTAATTTAGCTAAAGTCAATTCACACTGAACAATTCGGCGAACAGTTCGCAACCATTAGTGCGGACGCGGCTTAATCTCTGCGAACCTGTGTCCGTGTGTGCATCCTATGGTATCCCCGCGCGTTATCATTGTGATTATGCAAATGTGTTATCATTATGCAAACGCGGCCCACGATGCGTGGTCGTTTGTCGTCGCTGCTGTCTCGATTGATGGTTGGAGATCGCGGGTGCGAATCACACCTTGGCGCGAAATTTTTTTTTTGGCAGAGAGTTGATGACATCGTACGTCCTCTGATTGTCTTTGACATTACTTTCGACGATCTGATTGATCTCACATACGGTGCTAATTGTTTCCAATCAAAGTTTACAGATTGCAGATCGACTCGTCGATCAGTTTGTTCTCAAATTAATCTCGTGTACAACAGAATTTTCGATTGTATCAATCGATCGAGATTAATAGATCGCTAGCAATCGATCGCCATTACTTCTCGGTCATCCGAATGATTCGAGCAAACAAAGTTCTACCAAGTATTGCAGAATGAAGTAGACACACGCATAACTATAAATCCGTGATTAATAAATCTCGTCTC